GCAGACTAGCAGACTACTGAAATGTCATATGGTGTGTCTGGTGCCAAGGGGAACAAACTCTAATATATTCTTGAATATTTAAACAATTTTCATATATTTCATAGACATTCAGGCTGGAAGGGACCCCGGAGGATCATCGAGTCCAGCCCGGGGCAGGAAGTCAGCAGGGATCATAGGATCCCAACAAGATAAGCATCCAAATGTGTCTTGAAGGCATTCAAAGTGGGTGCTTGAACCGCCTCTGGTGGAAGTCTATTCCAAACCTTGGGGGCTCAGACAGTAAAGAAGTTCCTCCTTATGACCAGCCTGAATCGGTCGTGGTGGAGTTTGTGACCGTTTGATCTTGTCATCCCTTGGGGCGCTCTAGTGAACAGACGTTCCCCCAGATCCTGATGAGCACCCCTGATAAACTTATAGGTGCCCATCAGATCACCCCTGAGCCTGCACTTTTCTAGGCTGAAGAGTCCCATGGGTCTCAGCTTCTCATCATAAGGTCTGTTTTCCTGGCCTCTGATCATGCGCGTGGCTCTCCTCTGCACTCTCTCAAGCTTCTCCACATCCTTTTTGAATTGTGGAGCCCAAAACTGGATGCAATACTCCCAGCTGAGGCCTCACCAAGGCCGAGTACAACGGGAGAATGATGTCCCAGGATTTGCTTGAGAAGGATCTATGGGTGCAGACCAGTGTTTTGCTTGCTTTACTAGCTGCAGCATCGCACTGAAGGCTCATGTTCATCTTGTGGTCAATCGTGATCCCCAAGTCCCTTTCATCCGTAGTGTTAACCAGCGTAGCACTGCCAAGCCTATAAGCATGGTGCAGGTTTTTCCTCCCAAGGTAGAGAACCTTGCATTTATCGGTGTTGAACACCATTAAGTTCTCATCCGCCCAATTCATGAACCTGTCAAGGTCTGCCTGGCTCACCCTCCTGTCTTCAAGTGTGGATGCTTTACCCCAGAATTTGGTGTCATTGGCAAACTTGGCCAGCCCGCTTCAGACACCAATGTTCACATCATTGATGAAGATGTTGAACAGTATAGGCCCTAGGACAGAGCCTTGAGGGACCCCACTGGTGACCGTGCACCAAGACGATTGGTTTCTGTCAACCACCACCCTCTGGGTCCTACCGCGGAACCAATTCCCCAGCCAGCGGATTGTGGTGAGGTCAAGGCCACAGTTAGCCAGTTTTGCCAAGAGCTGATCATGGGATACCAGATTGAAGGCTTTTTTGAAGTCAAGATATACGACATCAATCTCTTCCCCCTCGTCCAGGTGATAGGTCACTTGGTCGTAAAAGGAAATGAGATTGGTCAAGCAAGACCTACCCACAAGAAACCTATGCTGGATATTCCTCAGGATATTGCCGTCAGCTAGTCTATTAAGGATGGCCTCTTTGATAATCTTGTCCAAGACCTTCCCCAGGATAGAGGTCAGGCTGATGGGCCTGTAGTTTGCCGGATCTACTTTCCTCCCTTTCTTGAAGATAGGCATGACATTGGTCCTCTTCCAATCTTTGGGCACTTCACCAGAGCACCAGGAGTTCTCAACGATCCGTGCCATGGGCTATGATGCTTTCCAGCTCCTTGAGTACCCTGGGGTGTAAACCGTCAGGACCAGCTGACTTGAAGGTATTCAGCCTGTCAAGATGTTCCTTCACGAGGTCAGCTTTGATGGAGGGTAAGGAATCCCCCTCACTTGGGACTCCCTGTCCCGTAGTGGGCAGGGGCAATCCCATGGGACTGGTGAAAAACTGATGCAAAGTACCCATTAAGCAAGTTTGCTTTTTCATGAGCATCGGTTGTCAGTTGTCCCATCTGGTTTAGCAGGGGTCCAATGTTGCCCTTGCTTTTCCTCCAGCTCCCCACATATCTAAAAAAGGACTTTTTATTGTCCTTGATATTTGTAGCTAGCTGGAGTTCCATCGCAGCCTTGGCTTTCCTGGCTTTCTCTCTGCAGTTACAGATCAGAGCAGAGGAATCCTCCTTGGTGGTGCTTCCAGTCCTCCATCCTTTGTAGGTCTTCCTTTTAAGACGCAGGAGGTCTGCCAGTTCCCTGGGGAGCCAAGGAGACTCTTGTGCCCTTTTGCTGCCTTTCCTCTGAGACAGGATGAACTTTGCTTGCACATCCAGGATTGCTCTCTTGAGGAGCAACCAGTTGTCCTGAACTCTCCTCCCCTTTGGGTTGTGGCCCTTTAGGGCCTCACTGACAAGCCTTCTTAGCTTGTCAAAGTCAGCTTTCCTTAAGTCAAGGACTTCTGTATTACTGATTGACTTGCCACCTTTACAGCAGATGGTGAAGGTGATCAGCTCATGGTCACCGTCACCCAGCTTCCCTTCAATCATTAGGTCACTGATTAGGTCGTCCCCAGTTGCCAGCATGAGGTCAAGCAGCGCTTTATCGCTCATTGGCCCGTAACTTCCTGCGTCAGATAGAGGTCATCCGTGCACGAGAGAAAGTTTTGCGAGCGCTCAGATTTGGCTGAGTGCTCCTCCCAAGAGATGTCTGGGTAGTTAAAGTCTCCCATGACGACCATACACCGGGAGCGTGCGGCCTCAACCAATTCCCTGGCAAACCCCTGGTCAAGGTCTTGACCCTGGGTAGGGGGTCTGTAGTAGATTCCCACCATAGTATCCCCATGCCGTGTTCCCCACAGATTTTTACCCAGAGGGTGTCAAGTTGTCCACTGTGGGTTCCAATGTCAGCTTGCAGGGACGCGTAGCTTTCCTTAACATAGAGAGCTACGCCCCCACCCCTTTTGTCCACTTGATCCCTCCTGTACAGGGTATAGCCATCTATACCTGTGGCCCAGTCATGGGTGGAGTCCCACCGGGTCTCTGTTATCCCTATTGCATCATAGTTATTTGCATTTAGCAGGAGGACAAGTTCCTCTTGTTTATTCCCCAAGCTCCTGGCATTTGTGTACAGGCAAGCAACTGTCCCCTTGGGGGCCCTTGCCTTGCCTACAGTTTGTTCCAGGGCTGGGGCAGGGATGGGTTCCCTTAAATGCCTTGTCCTGCTGGCTTTGCAAGGGTTGCTCAGCGGGCCAGCAGTGGCTGTAGTCCCCCCATCCCCCGGCAGGCTTACTTCAATAGTTTGTTAGTTCAATAATTTACTTCAATAGTTTTCACTTGCACTTTTTGTGGACATTTAACAGTCCCCACAACATTCACATGATTGAGCTTACTAGAACACATACACCTGGAAAGTGAAGTTTATACACACTAACAATTGCAGGAAATGAACTAAAAATTCATGTCACAAAATCATTTGCACCACAATGTCAATAAGAGTTATGTCCATCTAGTCACAAAATACTAGCGTATGATCAATATGATGGATTAGTCTGAACTAAGGCAAGTATTACAATTTCTGACTTTGGGATGTGAAAAATAATCAATTATTTATGAAACATGACAGATAGTTTTGAAAAAAAAGAATAAAACTGAAGCTATAATCTATTTATGGGGATTTTGCAGAGTTTGGGACTGAAGGAGATAGATGAATTAATAAACAATTACTCTTTCATTCAGCTCTAGTTTAAAAGTATCTAACAGAATCCCTTTAAGGAAAAAATGTATACATCATACATAATGGGGAAAAAGCATCATTGGTAAGCATTTAAAAACAAAGAATTAAGTGATAAGAGGTTACAAAAAACACCACACAACTATACTTACTGGAAAGAACAGTAGTAAGGAAGATGTAGTCAGAAAAAGAGATGAGTCCACATTCTCCAAGGGTATAAAATATACTGTCTTCATCAGCAAACTTCTCTCGTTCCTGGGATAACTTCTATATTATATAGCCAACCCATACCACCAAAGGGAGAAAACAAAAGAATCAGTTAAAACACAAGAACAGAAAGAGGTATTATTATGGCATTTTCATCAATAAACTTTTTCATGAACACATCTGTACTACTATTTAAATACAATGGACCATTTCCAACCTTCAAACCTATCAGAAGTAATTTGTGAAGATCAGTGCGTTTTTATTTCAAAGAAAGTATAGTAAGAAATTGAACAATTTTTAACAATTTTAGCTTACTATATATATACATAGAGATATCAACACATGATGTGCCTTTTGTTTAGGTCTGTCTGATTTTTCCAGGAAACGTACTATACAGTTTTGGTCAATGTAAAATTTGGAAAGGCACTCTGGACTTTTTCTATGAGTGTAGTCTAGTTTAACAAAAGTTTAGATAAACTAATTTGATTTGAATGATCTGAAATAACTAAATATTGTTACCAGAAGACTTAATTATTAAAAAACTTTATTGTAACACTATCATTTGCTTGGTAAAGTCAACTACATGAGTCTGAATTCTTGTACCACTTCTGAGTCTTTTTGGTACCTTGATACTTTCCAATTGGGAAAACATGTATTAGATGTATATCGTCCCCTGATCTCCTTGCTATCTGAAAGCCAGTGGATGACTAATCCACCGAAGCTTTAAAGACTGAAAAGGATCCACAAAACTGTGTTAGAAGCCAAGTACTGAAGTTCATACTGGTGAACTACTTGAAAAATATTAGAAGACACACGCACGCACACACACACAGAAAATGTTTACTACAAAAAGACTAAGTGCAGTTGAGATTAATCTATATAAATTCATGCAAGCATAGAAGCAAGGGACAATGCAAGCTTAAGGACAGTATTTGGAAGCAACACCAAACACCACCACACGAGGGTCCAGCTACACACTGTCCCCCATTGTTACCTCTGTCTAGCGATGATCCCATCATATACAAGACAAAGGAAAGAAAACTGGTTAACCAATTACAAAAGAAAGCACACAAAACATCAAAATGATCTGTTAGATTTGCAAAAGCAAGAAAGATTTGGAACAAAGGTAGATGCTGTGATTATACACTGCTAAGAAATCTAGGTATGAATCCCAGCAAGAGTTAGCTTTTAGTCTCTAAGGTACAGACCCATCATCTACAGCTAATGTCTCGCATTCATCTGATTTTTGAGAGAACTCACCATTCTACTTGACAGCAGATTGGGGATTAGTTCATCTAATAATTTAAATGAAAATTTAAGCAGTATCTGGCTTGGAAACCACAAGAGAAAAAAAATCATATTGATCAAGTATACAACTTCCAATGAAGTTCAGCTCTATTGAACAAATACAACTTGTAGTAATTGCTCCTTCTTTTAGACATGGGTCTGTTAAGAATCTAAAGTGAGGTAAACCACTGGCAGCAGCAGAAAGTATCAATGCTTTGCACAAGAAACTGGCAATTCACATTCAATGGGCATCAGGCTGTAGATTCTTTCCATAAAGTATTTTGGCCATCTTTTGCAACAAAATAGATCTGCACAAAATTTACACATAAGTATCTGTACAGCACTTGTCTTTAACATGATTAGCAAACTACATTTATTACCCAAAGAAACTATTCTGTTGAGAGATGGTGATTTTCAGTCTTTTATTGCATTATGTCAATTGCTGTAATTTCAGCTGTATATCCCACTCCCACGTCTTACTGAATGGCTTTGCTTGGTCTTTATCTCTATAGTTTGCAACACAGTAAACCACCTACTAGCACATAGATAACCTACTCTGTAAATATTTCATATTTAACAGACATCATTAAATGCTGGATGTGGTTGATTTAATCTTCATGGGTTGTATGCATTTAAAATTGTTATTTAATTCTTAAAGGCTGGAAAAGTGCCCTATAAAATTAAAAAAATAATGTCAATGAACTAAAACACCCAAAATTGAGCTCTAAGTGTTTTCTGAAACAAAGGAGTTGTATGTAGTATTTAGAAGTATTCTCCCACTGAATTTTTTCTTAGAGCAGCCAACAAAAATATATCTATTTTTAAATAATTACACTGGTAGTCAGACAGGCACAAACCTGGGAAATCTAAACACACAGTACCACAATGAGGTCTAATCCAGCTTCTGTTAAAGGAAATGGGAGTTATCATGTAAATTTGAATAGAAGCAAAAGCAGAGCCAGTTTGCTAGAAAAGTACTTTTGCGTGATGATCTGTTCAGAATTTCCTATCACAGGTTGAGGAGATAGTCTTTTAATTTTCTATATTATATCACATTTTTATATACACACATCTTTATATAGAAAGCATGGTCCAACAAGGATTTTACTGGGCCTTTTGTCTTTGTTTCTTTACCCATTCAAAGGGTAATAACATTGAGTTTCATTATTAATTATAGAATAACTCAGGTTAGAAAAAATTCAAAATGGATTGGTTATACCACTGAAATTTTGTAGAGACTAATATTAAAGGCATAATTTCCATAGCTAGGTCTCTACATGTCAAGATCTATTTAATCTGGTCTATAAAATATTTTGAGTTTTAAGCAGTATCTTTTCTGCAGTCTTTTTTCTAAGATTTCAGCTAAAAGGTTAATATCAGGAATGAAAGAATAAGAAACAGCATTACAAATTTTGAAAAAAGCAAACAATGTTAGATTTAAGCTGCTTCAGTAAATCTAAAAACAGCAAATTAGCTTTACAATTTCATTAGTTTATCTGTACAATTTCAGTATAAACTTCACATTTCATGCCCTTTTGTATCTGAATGCAAGCTAATTTTCAGAGAGAGATGCTTGAGTTAAAAACTATTAAATCAAAGCTTTTCAAACAGCCTACAAAAACATTCACCTTTGCATTTATTTTAGAATCTCAAAAACAGAGTAACCAGTTAAGGTCATCAAGCATTGCCTAAAGAACATTCAGAATGAAGCATTCAAATTAGCAATCCACTGCAAAAACAATAAGCTTTATTAAGCTGTGAAATCGTATTAGATGAACACACACTCTCACACACACTTGCACACAAATATAAAAGTCCAATATATCATTATTTCAATAAAAACATAACTATATATTAACTAAAGAGGTATCAAGCTAGTAGAATAACTTCTATGAACAAAATTCAGATCATAAGTCAATTTTACAAATATTACACATCATCATCCATGAACAGAAAGGTTTAGCTACATTTAAAAATACAGTCCATTCCTTACAATTGAGGCTAAAACTGCAAGTCAATCTATGAATCGAAATTTAATCTAAAGAATAAAAGTAGTAGTCATTTTAAGACAACAACTGAAACTGATGCATGTGCTTGCTGTCCAACATGCTATGGTGTATTGCAATAAAAGCTATACAATCAAACACCAGAAAAGCAATTCCATTATTTAGCCAGAAATCCAAAGTCATCATAATAGTAGTGTTTTCCCTTATGGCAAAACACAGAAAAAATATGTAAATTGTTTCCCACCCCCTTACTGTATCAAAAATCTGACCAAATGGCAAGTCAAAAAATGTTTACTTTTCTTATGATCTCAGCTAAAATGAACTAATGCAAAAGGAGGAGGACAGGCATAATTTTTTACACTTTTTAAAAAAAGAAGTTTCCAAATTTTAGTTCTCAAATATATACATTGCAAGCAAGTACAGACTCAAAAAGTAATATTCCAGCTTCTCCAAATATTCTGCCAATATACCTGAACGCTGATTTGCAAAACACCTAGTATCCATTCCTGATTTTTTAAATCAAACACTGCCAAATAACAGGACAGTTTTCAGTTGCAGACAAGTGCATGTTACTTAAACCAAATCTGAAGGCATCCAGAATTTTTTTCGAGTGTTATAGAAGACAGGGGGATGGGGAAAAAAGTTGCAGTATTTGGAATCTCTTGGCTAATTCTGCCCGAAGCAAGCATCTCTATTGCCATCCTGTTGAAATGCTAGTGAAGGTGCAGTAAGAGATCCCAGTACTCTGGGTATCGCAAGGTGTCATTTATGGTTAACAGATCAAAGCAGACACTAGATATGTTTATAACTCAATTAAGCACACTGGATAAAGGATATAGGTTTACAAATTAATTTATTAGGTATTATCTCAGAAATGTATTTGAATTTCAAGGTTGATTTTATTCAAAGCCACTAACATACATCTTTTTTAAAAAGCTTATCTAAACCTGGCAGTACCATTTTATTTTGCACTTCAAAAACTACTTAATGAGCAGCATTTAATATGCAGCTTTTAAAAGGAAGTATTTTTGGCAAGTCATTTAAAGATGACAGTTTGAATTTCAATCTGGGGGAAAGAGCCACACATTTAGCAATTGTGCCCATGCAATTAATACTTGTATTTCAATACCCACTTTGTGCATATATGCACCAAAGCTTCAGGAAGTTCTCCATCTTAAGCAATCTCTTCACAAACCTTCCGTCCTCTTTCAAAATAACAGAAGCATAGTGCACGTAATAAAATGGATAATTTAAACCAAAATTAGGAAGTATTTTGCAAATTAATTACACTGTAGTCCAACTTCAAGTATTCTTTACTATAGCTTTTCAGATGTTTTGTTCATTCTAAATTCTGTAAAGTTATAAAAACTGTGTAACCATATATGAACTATGAATGCTTAAGATACCCGTATATTTTACCTTGCTGTAAGGCAATTCTCTTCCAGTCCCAACTGACCACCTTTAGTTCTATGAACTACTCAAAATGCACACACTGAAATATAATTTTCATAGCTACAGGTATGAATATTCACAGAAGAAAATATTTAAAGAAATATTTGTGTTTAGAGCTTACAAAAAATAAGATGCTGTTTAATGAGTCACCACTTAATGTCTCTGAAATTGCATATAATCAATGTCAAAGACTGAAACAGCTTTCTTTTAAAGCTAGTAAATGCATACATGCACACAATTATACATATGTACCATGCAAAATTAGTCTTCCTGGGATGTTGCATGGTACATAATTTCCCTAGGCCTGTGCCTCTTTAAACAAGATAAACAGCTGGAGATCCTACAGTGGATACATCTAGACTAGGAACTAGGTCATGTTTTAAATCTTGTTAGTCAACACATTTTAATTAATACACTTTTAAATGTCACATAGCATCTAACTTAGACAAGGTTTGGCACCTTTAAAAACCTGAGCTAGTCATGGTTAACCTCTCTGTGCTAAACAATGTTTAGAAAGGTGCCAGTATGAACCTATTTTTCTAATCTTGCTAGAGCTTGTACAAATGTATCCTGCTAACCCAAACCAGTAAAACTCTTTCAGAGCTAGTGCAGTCTAAAATCTAAGAAAAATTATACTGAGACAGTCTTATAAAAAGTGAGCAGGTATTCTGCAACAGTGCATACTTCAGAAAGAATATATCAGCA